GCCCACCCACCGCCGCTCACCTCCTGCTGTGCGGCCCAGTTCCTAACAGGCCACAGACCAGTACTGGTTCACCACCCGGGGGTTGGGACCCCTGCTTTATTGGACATAATTATTAGGTCATGTTCTTTTTGGTGTTGTTTGTACAGCTCTAGTGAGGTAGAATTCACATGCGATAAAATTCACCCCATTCGTAAGTATATGATTCATGGCCTTCAATTACACTTAAAAAATTGTAAAACCATCATTACATTGCAGATTTAGTAATTTCCATCATCCCCAAAGAGTCCCCTCGAGTTCTTTGTAGTCAAAGCCATCCCCAATTTCAGGTAACCACCGGTCTGATTTGTCTTTTTCTATTTTCCTTTTCTGGACATTTAATGTATATGGAGTCATAGCATGTTTACTCTTTGGGTAGCAAGTACTAATATTAGTCTACCAGCTCAGGTGTGCATCAAATGTTTTTCTTTCTTCTTCCTCTCTCTCCTTCCTTCCTTCCTCCCTCCCTTCCTTCCTTCTCTTTCTTTCTTTTCTTTCTTTCTCTCTCCCTTTCTTTCTCTCCCTCCCTCACTCCAATCCTTTCTTTCTTTTTCTTTCTTTTTTGTAGCAAGTACAAATATTAGTCTACCAGCTCAGATGTACATAAAAATATCTTCCTTCTTTCATTCCCTCCCTTTCTTTTCTTTCTCTTTCTTTCTCTTCTCCTTCCTTCCTTCCTTCGTTCCTTCCTTCCTTCCTTTCTTCCCTCCTTCCTCTCTTTCTCTTTCTTTCTTGTAGCGGGTACCAGCATTAGTCTACCAGCTCAGATATACATGAAAATATTACATATCCTTTCTTTGTTTTTCTTTCTTTCCTTCCTTCCTCCTTCCCTCCCTATCTCTTTCACTATTTTCTCCCCACCACCCACCCCTTCTCTCTTTCTCGTGGCACGATCTTGGGTCACTGCAACCTCTGCCTCCCAGGCTCAAGCAATTCTCCTGCATCAGCCTTCTGAATAGCTGAGATTACAGGTGCATGCCACCACCGCCTGGCTAATTTTTGTATTTTTAGTAGAGATGGGTTTTCACCATGTTAGCCAGGCTGGTAACTCCTGACCCCCAATGATCCTCCCAAAGTGCTGGGATTCCAGGCATGAGCCACCACGTCTGGCCTTTTTACTTTCTTTAAACCCAGTTCTGCAGCGGTACAGGGAAACCTGTTTTGGGGCACCACTGGGGTCTGGAGAGGGGAGGTCTACTTCCCTATGGTCATGCAAAACTCCAGGAGTGCTTTTGGTACCCATTGGAGTAAGGACCATTTATTTTTCAGCCCATCAACCTTGCCACTGATACTCTCATTATCAAATGGTTCTTCTAGGGAACAGGGTCTGCCATCTCCAATGACAAGCCTGGGCACCAGAATCTGCAGAAGGTTCCTGAGGTCCAATAGATGCATCCCACAGCTGTGTCACTCCAAAAGCTTGCCATCTGCGTGGGTGCTGCAGGGACCAAGGCTTGAGTCTTTGATGCTCATAAGACCACCATTCCCCTATCCCTCCCAATCTGGGGGAGTCACTCCTCCCTCCAACTGCTGTGAAAGCCTCCACCTCCCCCCCACCAGCTCTGGCTCTTCTTCCTCCAGGACATCTGGGGTACATCATGGATGTATTGAGATCAGGCTTTCTCAAAAGACAAGAAGAAAGACTGTGCTTCTAAGAGCTGTTGCCAGGAATCCGGCAAACACTCCTGAAGGTAGGAAACCCAAAGAGACTAGCTGCTAACTCCAAACAGAAGGGATTGGGGAACATAAGGAACATTAAACACAGATTAGGGCCGGGCATAGTGATTCACACCTGTAATCCCAGCACTTTGGGAGGCTGAGGTGGGTAGATCATGAGATCAGGAGTTCAAGACCAGCCTGGCCAAGACGGTGAAACCCCGTTTCTACTAAAAATACAAAAAACTTAGCCGGGCGTGGTGGCAGGCACCTGTAATCCCAGCTACTCAGGAGGCTGAGGCAGAGAATTACTTGAAACTGAAAGATGGAAGTTGCAGTGAGCTGAGATCGTGCCACTGCACTCCAACCTAGGAGACAGAGCAAGACTCCGTCTCAAAAAAATAAATAAACAAAAAATAAACACAGATTAGGATCTCGCTAAACACCCTCCCACACTGCTCTACATTTATCCGACACAAAATCACATCAGCAAATCTGCTAAAAGCATGCTATTCTTTCAGCTTTTTCGCTGCGTTTAGATTCCATGGAAGTGTGCAGGAGGACGAAGTCAGCAAACAGGACGATCCAGGCTAAGCAGCAGAACTGGCTCTAACACAAGCAACGGCAACAAGCACCACGGCATTTTTTTAGGTGTTGAAGACACATTTCCTCTTTAATCCTCTCAGCATCCTTAGGTAAGGCTGTGAGTCCAAATCCCTTATCTAAAACTTTTGGGTTGCTGGGCACAGTGGCTCACGCCTGTAATCCCAGCACTTTGGGAGGCCGAAGCGGGTGAATCACCTGAGGTCAGGAGTTCAAGATCAGCCCAGTCAACATGGCAAAACCTCATCTCTACTAAAAATAGAAAAATTAGCTGGGTGTGGTGGTACGCACCTGTAATCCAGCCACTCCAGAGTCTCAGGCAGGAGAATCACTTGAATCCCGGAAGTGGAGGTTGCAGTGAGCTGAGATTACACCAGTGTACTTCAGCCTGGGTAACAGAGCAAGACTCCATCTCAAAAAATAAAATATAATAAAATAATAAAATAAACCTTTGGGGCAAGCTCTGCTTCAGAGTCCAGAATTTGGGGATTTTCAAAAGGCTGTTCAATGCATGGGATTTATATCACATAACACCCTGACAGGGTTTGATGCAGTTCTCCTAACAACTAATCAATTTTCTTCAATGAAACAAGTTTAAAAATCACACCAATGGATCTAAACAAAGACTGTAAATAGCTTTCCATCGGCTGGGTCAGGTCAGAAAAGAGGTTTGGTCCTTAGAACTTTCTGGATTTGGGACTGTACTAAACTCCCCATTTTACAGATAAAGGGAATGAGGAAGGGTAAGATGAAGTAATTTGGCCAAGGTCCTATTGCTAAGAAGTTGGGGGCTGGGTGTGCAGTGCTTCAGGCCCCCTCCTCCCCCACACTGAGAGCAAGGGATCAGGAGAAAATAACTTTGACTGATTTGTCTACCAGAAACTCACCTCGAGCCTCCCACACCAAAGCCATGGGCAGCTTGTGCACAACCTTCTTCCCATGGCTCAGAGCTTTGCTGATGCTCATTTTAATTCACTTTGATAGGGTTTTTTTGTTTTCATTTTTGATTTTGTTTGAGACAAAATCTCCCTCTCACCCAAGATGGAGTGCAGTCACCTGATCACAGCTCATGGTAGCCTCTCCCTTCTGGGCTCAAGCGATCTTCCTGCCTTGGCCTCCCAAAGTGCTGGGATTACAGGTGTGAGCCACCGCGCCCCACCTATAGGGTTTTAAATAGCAGAAGGAGCCTAGTGAAGTGTGACTTGCCCCGGGCACCCCTTACAGGCCTCCAAGGGACCATCCTCCACCGATCCCAGGAAACAACTATGACATCGCCTTTTCTGCCTGAATCATCCCAGTAGTTAAACAAAAATTAGAGAATGTCATTCCATTTCTCTCTATATATATTTTTCCAAGCCCTTTTCATGAATATCAGTTCTTTCCTGCACTGATTTTTAGAAAAATTTTTAAAATTGTCTATTTCTCCCCACTTCCACCCCCAGGCTGACTCCTCATAAAGCAGCCTCTAGCCTCATCTGCCCCTTCTACATCACACCCACTCGAGGGCTCGGAATTGGGTCTGGGGCCAGTTGCTGATTTGCCTGCCCTCCCTTCCCGGCTTTTGGGGTTAGCCTCTGGGGCAGGGTTGAAGTTCAGGCCTGGCCAGGCAGCAGGAGGTGCAGACAGCGAAGCGGAATCCTTCGGAGATACCAGGAGAGGGCGCATCCGCATTTTCCTGTTTCAGATCAGGATTTTTTTTTTTCCCCTCTCTCTCCCTGTCCTTTGCGTTTCCTTCCAACCAGTGAGCAGCGTGGATGTGCAACCACGTGCTCTCATTCTCACAGATTCGGGTGGCGCCAGTGCCTCCTTTAGTAAATCAAGTTCTTCCCGGCTTTCATGCCCTTCTTTTGGCCTCATGTACAAACCTGCCCCCAGGCTTCTCCCAGGCTACCTGGCCTCACGCTCATTTCTGTTTATTCCTCCTGCACGAGGGTCCCGGGGTGGGCAGCACCGCCTGAACCAGGCCTTGACCTCGCGATCGGACGCAGCGCCTGTCGGTGACCGAGTCCCTACGGTGCTGCCCGGGTGCTCGGGATGCCCGTAGGGCGGCTCTCCCTCCTACCTTGTCATCCTACTGTCTAATCCCGGGGCATCTTCCCTCCTCCACGGCAGGGAGGCTGCTTCCCAGATGCGATCCCCGCGCACCCGTGAATCCCGGCACTGGGCACCTGGAGCGCCGTGAGGTTAGCGGAGCCTGTTCTTCGGCAACAAGAGCTCAAGAAACATCCTACAAGCTTTTTGCTTTTTGAGTCTATTTTAAAGCAAAAACGAGTGGAAAGCTATATATGCTCAGTTAACTATGTCTAGATGTAAGCCTTTTTCAGAAAAACACAAAGATGGAGGCCTCCCTCCGAGGATGCCTGGGATCCTCCTCTTTCCAGGGGCTGCAGCGACCCCTCTGCGGCTATGGCTTCCACTAAGGGATCTGCCGGGAAGACGCAGGGAAGACCAGCTCCACACACTGCATTTGATTGATTTATTTTGATTAACGCCGTCACAGCAGCGCCTCAGCGTAGCCCCTGTTCTCCCGGGTGCCAGCGTCGACCCCACAGGAACCGAGGGTGGGAAGATGGGGGCGGATGCAGGGGAAAGGGGGCGGGGCCTCGGTGGGTGGGGCCTCGGTGGGCGGGGCCCGGGAAATTCCCCGGAGCTGGAGGGGTGCGGCGCGCGGTCAGCTGAGCGGCTCTGGGCGGGGTCGCGAGGCCGCACGTCAGCCCCAGGATCCCCGAGCCCTGCTGTCCCTACCGCCCTCCCGGCAGGTTCCCTGGTCATCATCCCATCCTGGTCCGGAGCCCTCTCCCGGCGGCACGATGCCAAGGAAACAGTGACCCTGAGTGAGGCCGAGCCGGGTGGCAGGTGAGCCGGGGCAGGGCGTCGCAGGGGTGGGCGAGGCGGCAGCGGCTCCTTCCCGGCGGGCTCCGGCCAGAAAACGGTTCCCGCCGCCCTGCCCCGCGGCCCGGAGCCTGTCCGGGTGAGGGTGGCGAGGGGTGGGGCGGCCCACCCGCGGGACAGCTGCCCTGGGAGGGTCCCCAGGCCCCAGCGGGTCCTGACCTGGTGGGAAAGGGTGGGTAGTGAACAGAGGATGGGCCCGGGAAGGGTCCTGGGCCGGCCCGGCGACTGCAGGTGACCCCTCTGCAGGTCATCCAGGGGCTTGGAGGTGACGTCCTCCCGCAGGCTGGGAAGGATTCCGCAGCCGGTTCCTCGCCATAAAGAGGAGGTGGTTACAGACACACCTCTGGGAGACGTGGGACCACTACTCGAGCTGAATGAGGTGCCTAGGGTTGGTACCACAGAGCGATCCCTCTCCAAGGGGATGGGAATCTACATAGGCCGCTTTGTCTAGGAGAGTGTGTACACTCTATAGAGAGAGGATATTTGATGAGGCTGAGAACCCCAAAGGAATTGTTTTTGCCATCGACATGTGTGAGCTACAGGCAGTAAACATCACTCAAAGAAAATGAAACCCAGGTTCGGGCCTGGCCTCTACCACCAGGAAAACTACTGTATGGAAATGTACGCCACAGAACTGTTTGTAAGGATGAAAATGGAAAATGAAAGCATAGAAAGTAAGGCAGTGTGAGAACACCAGAAGCCTTTGGATCTGGTGAACAAGGTGTTAAGAGTGTGAACAGAAGAACCCACCTTGCTCTTTTGACCCAGGGAGAAAGGAGTTAGTGGGCCAAGCAGCCTCTCAGGACAGGCCATTTTGGGGAGCGCTGGAGAGATCCCAGGGCAGACGGCAAGGCCAGGGATTGCCCTGGAGTGGACAAGGCAAGTTTAAATGTGACCTGTAGAGAGAGGACAGTGATTGATTTAAGTCCCTGGCATAATCGATCTGTTTTTCCACTGGGTCAGTTTTAGGAGTTTTTTATATATTATGTACAACACTATAAAAACAGCAGCTTCTTTTTAATAAACTAATCTTTAGGTTGCATATTATGCCAGGAATATAACTAACTTTCCTCCCCAAAAAACAAAACTTTATTCTCGAAGGCAACTGGATACTGTATTGTGTCCTGCCAAACCCCTGCTCTAACTTAGGTAGAGATGCACACATATTCTAGCTGTGAACTACACTTCTGTTTTATAGAAATTTGGCATATTTGATATATATTCTTTGGAATTTATGAAATAGAAAACCCAAAGGAAAAGGAAAAAAAAAATAAACTCTTTTTTAAAAATATTGGCTGGGTGCGGTGGCTCAAGCCTGTAATCCCAGCACTTTGGGAGGCCGAAGCAGGTGGATCATGAGGTCAGGAGATTGAGACCATCCTGGTCAACATGGTGAAACCCGTCTCTACTAAAATACAAAAAACTAGCAAGGTGTGGTGGTGCACACCTGCCAGCTACTCAGGAGGCTGAGGCAGGAGAATCCCCTGAACCCGGGAGGTGGAGTTTGCAGCGAGCCAAGATCATGCCATTGCACTCCAGTCTGGGTGACAGAGTGAGGCTCCATCTCAACAAAAAACATATTTCATTTAGAAAGAAAAAATTATTTTAAAAGTTTTCATTGTTTCCACTTTGACACGTGTATGAGGATTATTAGAATCTGTCTTGTGAAGTAATACCCAGATGGCTTTGTAGTGACAGAAAAAAAAGCACTTCTAAGTTTTCAAATAAGTTAGAAAACTGGATTTCGAGACTCTGGAAGTGAATGCCGTTGAACTGTGGAGAAACTCCTAACAATACTAGCATGCTGAGTTAGTCACCTGCACAGCAGAAAGCATTTTACAGGTGCTAGACTTAAAAATACCTCATTATGCTATATTTTCATTTCATCTCAACAAATGCAAGCCTGCTGTGTGCCATTCTCTGGTAAGAATAACATAGAGAGAAAATAGATGGGCAGAAAATGACAGCAGTAATTTCAGAATGGGCAGAGGAGATGGAAATGCAGAGTGCTCTTGGGTGCTCGGAGGAGGGAACAGTTCGTATGACACAGGACGTCATAGTTAATCTGGACATTGATCTGTCCAGTGAAAGTTTGCCAGGACACGAGGGGAGCCAGACAGAGGGCAGAGGGCAGAAGAGAGGCAAGGACGCAGAGACAGAAGAATGCAGGGAACTGCGAGCTTTTTAAAGTGCCTTGGCTCCAAGTAGTTTGGTGGCAGAGGTGACTCTGGTGGGTCAGTTGGGTCGGGCCCTGAAAAGCCACGATTGTCTTGCTAAGAAGCTGAAAAGTCTATCTTGTACAGGAAGGATGGAGTCAGGGAAATTACCTTGTATTGCACAAGAAACCATGAGGGCAAGAAGACTGAAATTGACAGGACTGAAAGCTAGTCATTTAGGAAGCTATTAAAATGTATTCAACAGACATTTACTGAGCCCTCCCTTCTATGTGGCAAGTAATGTTCTCAGTCCTGGGGATACAACAGCGGACAAAATAGACAGAACCCCTGTCCTCTGTGGAGGTCAACAGTGGCTGTGTATCTAATTGAGACCGATGCCTTTCCCTCATTAGAAATAGGGTCACAAGGTCAGGAGTTTGAGACCAGCCTGGCCAACATGGTGAAACCTGGTCTTCACCAAAAATACAAAAATTAGCCAGGCATGGTGGCGTGCACATTTAATCCCAGCTACTTGTGAGGCTGAGGCAGGAGAATCGCTTGATCCTGGAAGGTGGAGGTTGCATTGAACCGAGATTGTGCCACTGCACTCTAGCCTGGGCAACAGAGCAAGATTCTGTCTCAAAAAAAAAAAGCAAGCAAGAAAGAAATGGGATGCTCACCTCCAAGTTCTTTCTTCGTCCCTGTTGTGCATCAGTGGCTTTCTATACTATACATGATGTATAGTGTACATCATTGCTTAATACCTATCTGTTGGGTAGATGGGTTTAAGATTATTTTCTAAGGGCCAGGTGCAGTGGCTCACACCTGTAATCCCAGCACTTTGGGAAGCCAAGGCACACAGATCACCTGAGGTCAAGAGTTCAAAACCAGCCTGGCTAACATGGTGAAACATCGGCTCTACTAAAAATACAAAAATTGGCCAGGCGTGGTAGCTCATGCCTGTAATCCCAGCAACTCAGGAGGCTGAGGAAGAAGAATTGCTTGAACCTGGGAGGTGGAGGTTGCAATGAGCTGAGATCACGCCACTGCACTCCAGCCTGGGCAACAGAGAGAGACTCTCTCTCTGAAAAAACAAAAAACAAAAACCTAAAAACAAAAATAAAACAATGATCTTCTAACAGTAAACTTCCTGGAAGTAACAATATGCTTTTTCAGGCGTCTCTCTGGACTTTGGCCACTCTTGACCTTTGTGGAATGTGTGTGTGAGCCATGTGTATTCAGCGTCAGTGGGGAGGGGTTGCCTTTGCTATGTATTGCTTTATAATCTATCCCCGTCAGCTCTTGAAGAAAAGACATCATTTTCCCCAAGTGTGAAGGTGAAAATTTTTGCTGAATATGTTTGCCTGGGTGGTAGGTAACACAGAAGCAGAGTGGGGATTCATTCATCTGTCTTGCATTTATATGTCCACATGACAAGACAAAGTGGTGTATGTAAAAAATATACCCCCTCTACAAGACAAAGTGGTATGTGTAAAAAAATTTCAGACCATGCAATTAAATTGCAGCTAAAGATATCTTAGTCTTTTCAGTATGCATTGAAAAATAGAATATTAAGGCCTACGTATTCAGTACTCTAATAACTCTGTTGTTTTACAAGGTGTGGCTTTCATACCTGGCGGTGCCACTTCCTGGCCTTGGATGAGCTGTGCGCCTCTGTAAGCCCAGCTTCCTCACCTATATAAAACAGCTGCCTAGTTCAGCATTAGTGAAATTAGAGTCAGTGACAGGTCTGGTGTGCTGAGTTTGCACATAGTAAGCATTCAGAGAATGTTAATTCTCCCTTTCTTCTTAGCCAAAATACAAGAAACAAAATACAGAGTTTTAAAGCAGCTTTTATGGAGAGATAATTTGCTTACCATGCAATTCACTTGAAATAAGGAGATTTGAGCTTGAAAATTTGCCTGGGAAATTTTTTTCATGACACTTTGCCCATGTCTGTCTACATATATCCTGATCATCATGTTGTCATACCCTTGTCTCCCTCCCCCATTTCCCAAATCCTCACTGTACCCTTTTATATACCCATACACACACAGACACATACACACCCTCTTCTGAAACTAGGCTATACCTTTCTTGTTTAAAAGGAAGAATCAAAAATGTTCAAAATGTAACTGGAGGGAAAGTGGGCAACTTTTGGAGTCAATATAAGCAATCACTAATGGGTTTGTGGGACTCCTGGGGACCCCTTGTGGGGCGGGGACAGCTCTATTTTCAACTGGTGACTTTTCCACAGGAACTTCTGCAATGTCCCATCAACCTCTCAGCTGCCTCACTGAGAAGGGGGACAGCCCCAGTGAAAGCACAGGAAATGGACCCCCCCATCTGGCCCATCCAAACCTGGACACGTTCACCCCGGAGGAGCTGCTGCAGCAGATGAAGGAGCTCCTTACCGAGAACCACCAGCTGAAAGGTGAGCGGGGCTGGTCCCTGCATGCCCTGTTCATCCCAGGCTTCTGGAAATGCCGTCCCTTTGCACTCAGGCTTGGTGGTGAGCTCCCTTCTCTCCCTGTTTCCCTAGGCAGTAGCAGGTGGAGAAGCACAGGATTTAGCTTTTGGCGAGGCTAAATCTGTTTTGATTTTTACTTTTGGATACAGGTAAAAATAAAAAGTGTGTGTATCTCAGGGAACAAGCATAATGACATTTAGCCCATTCAGAAGGAAAAAGAGGGTGGGCGTGGTGGCTTACCCCTGTAATTCCAGTACTTTGGGAGGCGGAGGCAGGATTGCTTGAGTCCAGGAGTTCAAGACCAGCCTAGGGAAAGTAGTGAGACCTTGTCCCTATAAAAAAATAAAAAAAAAAAAAAAAATTAGCTGGGTGTGTGTGTTTGTAGTCTTAGCTACTCAGGAAACTGAAGTGGAAGGATCACTTGAACCCAGGAATTCAAGGCCACAGTGAGCTGTGATTGCACCACTGCATTCCAGCCTGGCTGACAGAGTAAGACTCTGTCTCTTAAAAAAGAAAACAAAACTTAGATGTAAATTTTTACTCAATCAGCCTCTGCTGCTCTTGGCAGGACAAGTCCAAAATTTAATGCCCCATGTTACATGACACTTTTAATGTATGTTGCTGTATTTATTCTGAAACCTTAGACCGCATTTGTCTTACCTGTAGCTGTTTGGCTACTCTTGTTTTCCTGTGTAACCCAATTTAGAATTAGTATGGTTTGAGGGTGGATTAACTACAGGCTGGGCCTGAAGACAAGTTACATGGTTTTCACATTAGATTTTAAAAAGCCACACACTCAACAGAGATTTTGCTTAAAACCACTAAATCCAACCAAAGCCCTAGGAGGAGGAAGGGACTATGACACGCCCAGGCCACACTGCTCAGCTGCCAGCAGCTTGGGAAAGGAGGACTTCTACAACAGAATTCATTTCTTTTTTTTCTTTTTTTTTTTTGAGACAGAGTCTTGCTCTGTTGCCCAGGCTGGAGTGCAATGGCACAATCATGGCTCACTGCAACATCTGCCTCCTGGGTTCAAGCAATTCTTCTGCCTCAGCCTCCCAAGTAGCTGGGACTACAGGCGCCTGCCACCATACCCAGTTAATTTTTTGTATTTTTAGTAGAGATGGGGTTTCGCCATGTTGGCCAGGCTGGTCTCCAACTCCTGACCTCAGGTGATCCACCCACCTTGGCCTCCCAAAGTGATGGGATTGCAGGCGTGGGCAATGACACCTGGCCCAGAATTGTTTCTATACAACAGAATTCATTTTCTATACAACGGAATTTTATTTTTATACAACAATTCACTTTTCAACAAAAGTTTAATGTTCAGAAAATCTGGAAAACAGTAAGCAGGAAGATGGCCTAGAAAATCTGAAATTACTGGCCGGACACAGTGGCTCATGTCTGTAATCCCAGCATTTTGGAAGTCCAAGGTGGGTGGATCACCTGAGGCCAGGAGTTCGAGACCAGCCTGGGCAACATGGTGAAACCCCTTCTCTACTAAAAATACAAAAAACTGGCCTGGTATGGTCACACACGCCTGTAGTCCCAGCTACTTGGGAGGCTGAGGCACAAGGATCACTTGAACCTGGGATATGGAGTTTGCAGTGAGCCGAGATCACACCATGGCACCCCAGAGCAGACTCTGTCCCAAAAAAACGAAATGAAATCTGAAATCACTGAGACTAACTGACTCTTCTTGTCTGGAAGTAGCCAAACAGGAAGAACTTTGAAGGCATCACACACACTCTGCACTCTACTCCCTCAGGACCTGGTTATCTCATGGGTGGGGAGATCCAGGTTTGCTTACAGGATCTCCATGGCACTCCTTGCTGAAGTGTTTGTGTCTGCCTGGAACTTATCTCAGAACTGCATAGTTGACCACTTGGTTGTGATGAGAGGAAGGGATAAACTGGGATTCCAGACTCTTTTATCTTATTCTGGGTGGTGACACTAACACCCATAATGCCAAAGTACACAGTGAATGTACACAAATATTCAGTGTAGAAAATCTGGTATCAACAGAGTCATGAAGCATTTTATAATAGGATTTTAATTGGCCCTATAAAAAAAGTATTGGCAGCTGGGCTCAGAGGCTCACGCCTGTAATCCCAGCACTTTGGGAGGCCAAGGTGGGCGGATCACTTGAGGTCAGGGGTTGGAGACCAGCTGGCCAACATGGTAAAACCCCATCTCTACTAAAAAGACAAAAATTAGTGGGACATGGTGGCACGTGCCTGTAATCCCAGCTGCTCAGGAGACTGAGGCAAAAGAATTGGTTGAACCCAGGAGGCAGAGGTTGCAGAGAGCCAAGATTGTGCCACTGCATTCCAGCCTGGGCAATACAGCAAGACTGTCTTTAAAAAGTTGTTGGTAGTTTAAGTAGCAACATCTGTGATTGTTTTAGGATTTAGTGGTTACCATTTAAGAAGTCGGCCTCAGGTCACAGATGTAGGAAGTGGCGGAGCTAATCTGACTGGCAGGTCAGTGCACTTTTCTGAAGTCTGTCACACAGGGTGTGAGGCTTGACATCAACACGTGACATTGCCATGGCAACCAGCACAGAAACCTCAGTGGCCGTTTATCTTCCTACTTGGTTTGAATATATTTATGGTGTTCCCAGAATTCAGCGTGCCCTTGGATTAAGAATCAAAGTTGTACTTTTGCATTTTATTCTTACAAGTTCTTTTCTGCACTACCCATGGACTCACTTGGGATTCTAATACTCCTTGGGATTCACAAGGTCTCCCAGTTTTCAGATATGGAGAGAGTGTGGGGGTGGAAGTTTGTCTTTTCAAAGTACTACTTCCCTGCTGCTTTCAAGCCAGCGAAGTTCTGATTTTCAGTAAAGTTTAAAGTGTCAAATTTACAGAGCTACTATCCTAAAAGATTCCCTGACTCCTTTCATATCTACCCTTTGAAGTAATTAACTTTTCTGTGTACACATAAGGAAGTAACATATTAATATGTCGTTTATTCTGAGAAATTGTGATCTGACTTTTGGATGCAAGCTTACATATAAAAATCTAAGGAATTCGTTGAAATAAGTGTTCAGTTCAATCTAGGATTTTTTAATTTTTTGAGACAGAGTCTCACTGTGTCGCTTAGGCTGTAGTGCAATGGCACAATCATGTCTCACTGCAGCCTCAGTCTCCCGTGCACAAGTGATCCTCCTGACCTCAGCCTCCTGAGCAGCTGGGACCACAGGCACATACTCCCATGCCCAGATAATCTTTTTTTTTTTTAATTTGTTTATTTTACTTTAGGTGCATACTATATCTGGCATTTCTCCCCACGTTATCCCTCCCCACCTCCCCACCTCCTGCTGTCGCTCCCCTACCCCACCCCCACCACCCCCAGTGTGCAATGCTCCTCTCCCTGACTCCACGTGTTCTTGTTGTTCAACACCCAGATTTTCTGTTCTGGTGTCAGTTTGCTGAGAATGATGTTTTCCAGACTCATCCAAGTCCCTACAAAGGACATGAACTCATCGTTTTTGATGGCTGTGTAGCATTCCATGATGTATATGTACCACATTTTCTTTGTCCAGCCGATCATTGATGGGGATTTGGGTTGGTTCCAGGTCTTTGCTATTGTATACAGGGCTGCAATGAACATACGTGTGCATGGGTCTTTATAATGGAATGATTTATAATTCTTTGGGTATATACCCAGTAATGGGATTGCTGCTGGGTCAAATGGAATTTCTATTTCTAGATCCTTGAGAAATTGCCACACTGTCTTCCACAATGGTTCAACTAATTTACACTCCCACCAGCTGTGTAAGAGTGTTCCTGTTTCTCCACATCCTCTCCAGCATCTGTTGTCTCCAGATTTTTTAATGATTGTCATTCTAACTGATGTGAGATGATATCTCAGTGTGGTTTTGATTTGCATTTTTCTAATGACCAGTGATGATGAGTATTTTTTCATATGTTTGTTGGACTCACGTATGTCTTCTTTTGAAAAATGTCTGTTCATATCCTTCACCCACTTTTGAATGGGGTTGTTTGTCTTTTTTTCTTGTATATCTGTTTTAGTTCTTTGTAGATTCTGAATATTAGCCCTTTGTCAGATGGGGAGGTTGCAAAAATTTTTTCCCAACTATACTACAAGGCTACAGTAATCAAAACAGCATGGTACTGGTACCAAAACAGAGATATAGACCAATGGAACAGAACAGAGGTCTCGGAGGCAACACAACATATCTACANAAAAAAAAAAAAAAAAAAAAAAAAGAAAAGAAAAGAAAAGAAAAAAGGAAGAAAGGCTGCTATGGTTCCAGAGTTGGTCCTAAATATTACCTTCCTAAGAGACAGCATCCTGGTATCTCAAGCCATGGCTTTTGGCAGGACCAGTGTTTGAATCTAGGAGTAGTAAGAACTTCCTTAGTTCCCTGGTAACCATAGATATTTAGATACTTGTGCTGTAGTGGCGGTACCCAATCAACTTTATTTTCTTGGGACTTTTTTTTTTGAGATGGAGTCTCACTCTGTTGCCCAGGCTAGAGTGCAATGGTGCAATCTCGGCTCACTGCCACCTCTGCCTCCCAGGTTCTCATGATTCTCCTGCCTCAGCCTCCTGAGTAGCTGAGATTACAGGTGCACACCACCATACCCAGCTAATTTTTTGTATTTTTAGTAGAGACAGGGTTACACCTTGTTGGCCAGACTGGTCTCGAATAGCTGACCTCGTGATCTGCCCATCTTGGCCTCCCAAAGTGCTGGGATTACAGGTTTGAGCCACCATGCCCAGATTTCTTGGGACTTTTAAGGACTAGAAATGATGTTAATCTCACTGGTCTTTTCTGTAAGCAAAAGCCACTTAATCTTTTTGCTGCTGCCCCTTGGGCCGAGGTTAAGCATGGCATCCTTAGATTCAGAGCCATGTGGTAAAGTGGTCTAGGAGAGGTTTGAGTCATCAGATGAAGTCCACTCTTCCTGGTGTGTGACTCCATCCCTCTGAACCTCCTGCAGAAGCCATGAAGCTAAATAATCAAGCCATGAAAGGGCGATTTGAGGAGCTTTCAGCCTGGACAGAGAAACAGAAGGAAGAACGCCAGTTTTTTGAGACACAGAGCAAAGAAGCCAAAGAACGTCTAATGGCCTTGAGTCAAGAGAATGAGAAACTGAAGGAAGAGCTTGGGAAACTGAAAGGGAAATCAGAAAGGTCATCTGAGGTGAGCAGACTGATCCATTGTGATTTTTTTTTCCCTTAACATTTGTGGTAGGATCTTAATTGTCTAGACTCCTAGATCAAAACCTTTCATGATTCAGTCTGGATTGGTGTTTTGCCTGGTCTTGGAAGAAGTGCTTTTGCTGAAAAGATTGGTAGACCTGTTAAGGGTCATGTATAATCTCTTTTAGGGGAAAGAAATTTGTAAAGCTTTGACCATACTGATTGTAGGCAGAACACTGAGGTTATAAATGAGTGTTCTGTATTCATTATAGATGGTGCAGATGGGCCTCTGTTTTTAGTTTCTGTTTTTAGTTTTTAAACCATCAATTGTTTTTAGTTTGTCTTTGATATAAAAAATATGTTTAAAAAACCTATTACTGAAAATTTTTACTTGTTGACCTTGTCTGTTTGCTCAGTCTAAAATGGAGATTATTCACTATACATTTTCCTTTTAAAAAATGTTTTGGAAAATGTCATGTTGTGGTAGGACGCTATCGCGTTACCACAGATGAAAAGAGAGACACATTTTTCTTGACCCAAAGAACCTGGAAAATGTGCTCATACCTGGGAGTGGACATCAAAGACATTAGTAAAGAAACAAACCAGAAACTGTTTGGCGTCCCCCACTGGGTGTGTTTGCTAAGGAGCCCTCTGCTGTCCATGTTCTTCCAAGCCTGGCACCTAACGGCCCTTTGGAGGGTAAGGCACTGAGATGGTAAAGGCAGGACTTATTCTGGATACAGGTGATTTTTCTAGAGACTCTATCTTAAACTTCACTGATCTCTAATTTCTTGGATAGGTAAAGAAGGAAAACAAAGAAACAAACTGAAAGAAAAGAATGGGAAAGGAAGGATGATATAGAATCATCTAAAGCATAAAAGGTTATTTAGAAAAATACTATATTAGGCTGGACATGGTGGCTCATGCCTGTAATCCCAGCACTTTGGGAGGCCAAGGCAGGCAGATCACTTGAGATCAGGAGTTCAAGACCAGCCTGGCCAACATGGTGAAACCTTGTTTCACCTAAAAATACAGAAAAATTAGCCAGGCATGGTGGTGCACGCCTATAGTCCTAGCTACTCAGGAGGTGTAGTCCCAGCTTCTCAGGAGGCTGAGGTGGGAGGATCTCTTGAACCTGGGAGGCAGAGGTTGCAGTGAGCCAAAATCATGCTACTGTACTACAGCCTGGGCAATAGAGTGAGACCCTCCCTTGAAAGAAAGAAAGAAAAAAAAAACTCATTCTATTCAATTTCCTTACGTCAAGAAGAGATATATGAAGATTCCTACTAAAGTATAGTCTCACTTTTACCTGCTTATTTCTGAGTTCTAGCTGAGCAGTACCTGTCCTTTTACTGCTTTTTTTTTCTTTAAGTTTGTGTGTCTTTTGTATGATTCATTACTAAGAGAGAATGCAGACTTCCCACCTTTCTTTGCAGACCGAACTCTTCGGTTTCACAATGAGTTGCTTTTCTCTAAGGCCGGGTGGTTGTTTTGTAGCGAGGCTGCCCCATGCGTAGGAAGAGCATCATCCCAGGAATAGAAGGGGTACATCATGTTACCGCTTAATGCCTGTACCCCCGGTTTTCAGTATTTCATGGATGGTTGGTTTATGATGCATCCAGATGTCTTTCTGATGCTGTTTTGGTTCTCTGAGGAGCCTTTGGTCCTGTTTCCCGTCCCTTAGGGAATCTATCAAAAGGAAAGGGAAAAGAGAAACTCAATTTAGTGTTGACAGGTTTGAGATCACCTATTTTCATTACCTGTTTGGAGAATCCATAGATAACACTTACTCATGCTATATATTCCTGAAGGTAACTGAGATTTCTCTTTAAAGGTTGGTCTTAAGGCATTTGTTAGTTATGCTGTAAAGATCGGAGGTTGGGGGAAGTTTCACTTTTCTCATGTGTCGCCATTTTCTGATCATCTCAAATACATTTATTTCTGGTTTGGGAAGGGAACCAAAGCATGGTGCCATGTACATAGAAGCAACGGAGGTTTCCTGACAGCTGGAAGGGACCAAAGAGACTGTGTGATGCCACATTTTTCTTTTTTTTTTCTTCCTGTGAGACGGAATTTCACTCTTGTTGCCTAGGCTGGAGTGCACTGGCGCAATTCAGCTCACTGCAACATCCACCTGGGTTCAAGCGATTCTCCTGCCTCTGCCTCCCAAGTAGCTGGGGCTACAGGCACCCACTACCACGCCTAGCTAATTTTTATATTTTTAGTAGAGACAGGGTTCGCCATATTGGCCAGGCTGGTCTCAAACTCCTGCCCTCATGATCCGCCCACCTCAGCCTCCCAAAGTGCTGGGATTACAGGTTAGAGCCACCGCGCCCAGCCTCCACATCTTTCTTTCTCAGCCACAAAAACAGCCCAGGAACTGAAGAGAATCTGCTCCAGGCGATGCACCCAGAGTATAGCCTAGATGTGTTCTTCCTCCTCCCACCTGGAAACACCACATCTGAACAGAGTCATTCTCTTATGACTTTGTCATATGCAGTCACTGCAACGTGGTGAACACAACCCAGCCCTGACAGTAGTGGGATACTGATGTATATTATTCATGTCTGCATAGGCTGGAACTTAATTTTTTTAAATCCTTCATACCAGTCTCTGCATTTTAAGTGTTCTTATTTCTCACCAGATGTACTTTTAGCAACCTTGAACACCAACATAGGCTGGGCATGGTGGCTCACGCCTGTAATCCCAGCATTTTGGGAGGCGAAGGTGGGTGGATCACTTGGGGTCAGGAGTTCGAGACCAGCCTGGCCAACATGGTGAAACCCTGTCTCCACTCAAAATAGAAAAACTTAGCCAGGCGTGGTGGTGGGGGCCTGTAATCCCAGCTAATCGGAAGGCTGAGGCAGGAGAATCACTTGAACCTGGGAGGTGGAGGTGGCAGTGAGCCGACATTGTGCCACTGAACTCCAGCCTGGGCGACAGATCGAGACTCCATCTCAAACAAACAAACAAATGACAACAAAAACACTAACCTTAAGTGTGAAAGGGACCAGCCCCCACACTGTTTTGGACCATCCATTGTGCTTTGCTGTCACTGAACCAAATCATGTCCTTGGTGCTTTGGCTTCTAACAGACATGCCAAGTGTGGGAAGAAGGGGCATGGGTGGGCACTGGTGGGGAGGAAAAGGGCAGGAGGTTGGGTGGTGGCAGGTTTTGTCCGTCCTTTCTGGAATTTTAGACAATAGCTTATGAGTCCACTGTTGCCAAAGTGAGGTTGATTATTTCCATAATATCAGATTATGCCAGCATGGCAAGGAAGGCTGTCTTTCTTGTCATGAAGTTACCTTTAATTTTGATTATTTGAATACAATAAAATAATGTAAAAATTTCCATTTTAAATGTTATGCCAAAATAAATTGTCAGTTGGGCGTGGTGGCTCACGCCTCTAATCCCAGCATTTTGGGAGGCCAAGGCAGGTGGATCACCTGAGGTCAGGAGTTCAAGACCAGTGTGGCCAACGTGGCAGAACCCCATCTCTACCAAAAATACAAAAATTAGCTGGGCATGGTGGCAGGTGCCTGTAGTCCCAGCTATTTGGGAGGCTGAAGCATGAGAATTGCTTGAACCCAGGAGGCAGTGGTCGCAGTGATCCAAGCTCGTGACGCTGCACTCCAGCCTGGATAACAGAGTGAGACTGTCAGAAAAAAAAAAATGGCAAGTAAAGGCTGGAATTTTCTACTTTAAAGCACAGGGCACAAAGGTCTTGAGAAACTTCCTTGTCACTGGGTATGGAGGCAGTTGAGTCTCATGGCCAGGTCCTTAGTTTGATTTGTATTTGTTTGTTGGCTTTTTTTTTTTTTTTTTTGAGACAAGATCTTACACTCCTGGCCTCAGGCAGTCTTCCTGCCTCAGCCACCACCCCTGGCTAATTATTGAATTTTTTGTAAAGATGGGGGTCTTGCTATGTTGCCCAGCTGATCTCAAAACCCTGGCCTCAAGCAATCCTCCTGTTTCAGCCTCCCAAAGCTCTGGGATTACAGGTGTGAGCCCATCCATGGTGCCCGGCCTTAGTTTCTTTGTTCATTCACTTTACTCCTTGTCACCTCCAGGACCTCAGTGGTGACTCCATGCTTCCCGCAGCAGAAGCAGAGCAGGAAAAGGAGCAGCTCAGGACCCAGGTGGTGCGGCTGCAGGCAGAGAAGGCAGACCTGCTGGGCATCGTGTCTGAACTGCAGCTCAAGCTGAACTCCAGCGGCTCCTCCGAAGACTCCTTTGTTGAAATTAGGATGGCTGTAAGTTTTTGGTTTTATTTTTTATTTGAGCAAACTATAAAGCCTCCCCTGGAAAGATGAAACAAATACTACTTTTTCTTGTCAACACAAGGAAGCCAAGGATTGAGGAACTTGCAGTGTGGCAAAGCGAAATTGGCCCTCATTTTTTAAGCATAGCATAATGCATGTAAGGGTTGTCATAGCTAAAATGGAAAAATATTAATTACCTTTTATGATGAAAGATGTAGTAATTTTTTTCATCATGTCCTGGCAAATTGAACATTTTTGTGACTGACCTGAAAAAGAAAAAAACCACACAAGCATGAACCTTCTGTCATTTTTCAAACCAGGTCTCAAAGCTGTATTCAGCCATGCACTTAAAAGAGCTACAAACATTTTTTAACAACAGAACCCTCTTTTTGTTTTGAGACAGGAGTCTCTCTCTGTCCCCAGGCTAGAGTGCAATGATGTGATATCGGCTCACTGCAACATCTGCCTCCAGGGTTCAAGAGATTCTCGTGCCTCAGCCTCCCAAGTAGCTAGACTACAGGCACATGCCATTACACCTGGCTAAGTTTTTGTATTTTAGTCAAGACAGGGTTTTTCCATGTTGGCCAGGCTGGTCTCAAATTCCTGGCCCCAAGTGATCTACCCACCTTGGCCTCCCAAAGTGCTGGGATGACAGACATGAGCCACCGTACCAACAGAACCCTCTTTGCAAACAAACTGGTATGAGGAACCCTGGCCTATTAAAAATAAGAGCAGGAGAAAGGAAGGAGCAGAACTGCTCTGGCTGTAGGTTCAAGGAGTGTCCGGGCTTTTCTTTCACTTTCAACAGCAGCTACTCAGGAACCTCTGAGAACTGAGTTTGAAGCCAGTGCTATCAAAATCAAATTTCTCTGCAACCCAAAATGAAGTGGTCTAAGTGAGGGGGCCCTAAGCTCTGGAGAAGCATCTGTTACCACTGTGCCTGGGGGCAGGGGCAGCCCTATTAAAGAGCAGAGCAGATCGGCGGACCAGGTGGGGGCCTCTCCTTCATTGCTGCTAACAAACATTAGATAGGAAGGATGAAATCCTCTGTAGAACAGACGGTCACTTCAGCTGAGTCAGAGTACACACGGGATACAGGAAAAGCGACTGGCCGGGTGTAGTGGACCGGGTATAGTGGTTCACGCCTGTAATCCCAGCACTTTGGGAGTCTGAAGGGGCAGGATTGCTTGAGCCCAGGAGTTCAAGCCCTGTCTGGGCAACTTGGCAAAAACCTGCGTGTAGAAAAAAAATACAAAAAGTTAGCTAGGCATGTTGGCATGCACTTGTACTCCCAGCTACTCAGGAGCCTAAGGCAGGAGGATCACTTGGTCCTGAGAGTTTGAGAGGCTGCAGTGAGCCATGATCGTGCCACTGCACTTCAGCCTCGGTGACAGAGCAAGACTCTGTTTTTAAATTTAAAATGAAGAAAAGAAAAAGAAAAAAATTGTGTCCCTGGAAGAGAAAAATGTACATTGTAGTTAAGTCAGGAGGAATGGGGAGCAACTTACAAAAAAGCTCACCTACTGGTTATATCTGAAAGATGAGTGTGTGATTATCTTTGCTTTCTGATTTATTTGCTGCACTAGAGTTAGGAAATGGCTCTGAATAACTTGGCCATCCATGCCCCCTCATACATTTTAGTGGCCAAAATCAAGAGAATTAAAATACCAATTGAAAAGTGTATTTTGCCAGAGTACCCTTTCTGCAAGTGGTCAAAAATTACTGAGACAGAAGTTTAACCAAAGAACTTTATCATTCTGTCAATAACTGATATACTGCAGGAAACCCAACAGTGTATCAGAAGTTTCCAAATGAAGCTTCTTTGAAGGTGCATGATTAGCATCGCATTCTCCCTGTCAAATGAGTGACAGTTATTTTTAGTGTAAACATGTTTTGCTTGCTTTTCTTCTATGAACTGGAAAGCACTGCCCAAGATTTAGGAAGAAATACCAAAAATAACTAGGCTCCCATGGCCCCAAGCAGAGAAAAAATACATTTATCTATGTTTTTTATAATAGATATATATATTCTGTATCTAAATATAGATCTATATCTATATTATATAATTACACATTATATTATATATCTTATGTATTATAATTATATGTAAATATATGTAACATTAATTATAACATGTTAATATAATATATAATCATATTAGATATATATTATTTAAATATATATTTAGATATCTATGTTGTATATAGAAATACATATCTGGAACCATCTTTGTGCATTGTTGAAGATTTTCCCTGGGAGCCTATTGGAATATAAATGCCTCTCAAATTCTATGAGTCTTAGTCTTCTTGTTGCCTAAGTGACCTGTGGTGCATACAAATTTCTGATGGGAACCAACTTGGCCAAGATGGCACTTTGTGAATCTCATTCACAGAAACTGCCTCTTTTTTAACTTTGCCTTGCTGAGTTCTAGCATTTTGCATTTTAAAGGACTGTCCAAGAAGGATATGTGGAGTTGTCACCAGCTCTGCATGACCTTAACCTTGAAAAAGAGGGAACTGCCAAGGAACGGGAGGAGCAGATAAGCTTTCATGTTTACGGAGTCAGGTAGAAAGTGTAGAGCCAGAGGAAACTGACCTTCACGCCTTAGCCAGGATATTTATAATCTTGACAGGGTGTGCTGGGTGAGGGAAGAGTACATTTCCATTCCATCTGAGCCACCCAGTTTAAACATTGCGCATCTGAATGTTGGGAAGGTTCCTTGCGTTACATGTCACAAAAATTCATCTTTTGCCTCTTTTCTTTTGACAGAGAATTTGTCTCGCAGACATATTGTGTTAAATCCATCGCACTTCTGTTTTTTACAGGAAGGAGAAGCAGAAGGGTCAGTGAAAGAAATCAAGCATAGTCCTGGGCCCACGAGAACAGTCTCCATTGGCACGTATGTGAAGGAAGACGTGGGCTGGCAGGCAGGCGGGTTGGGCAGGCTTGTCTATAGGAGCTTGTCACAGGAACTCGAGTGTAATGGCTTGTGGAAGTAACTTCTTCATGATTTAAACCAGGACCTTTCAAGAATATTTCGTTTGAATGCTCTTTAATGTCGCAGCTCAAACTGGCAGATTAAAAACTGTTTGGTGGCCGGGCACAGTGGCTCACGCCTGTAATCCCAGCACTTTAGGAGGCCAAGACAGGCAGATCACAAGGTCAGAAGATAAAGACTAATCCTGGCTAACATGGTGAAACCCTGTCTCTACTAAAAATACAAAAAAAAAAAAAAATTAGCTGGGCATGATGGCAAGCGCCTGTAGTCCCAGCTACTCAGGAGGCTGAGAGAGAAGAATGGCTTGAACCTGGGAGGCGGAGGATTCAGTGAGCCAAGATCACGCCACTGCACTCCAGCCTGGGTGACAGAGCGAGACTCCGTCTCAAAAAAAACAAAAAAAAAAAAAACAAAAAAAAAAACTATTGGTGCCTGTTTGGCTCACACTGACTACTCTGTTCTAATGGTGTCTCACCTCCAGCAGGTTAGAAGTGAAAACAAACTGGTTCTCAGTCAAGTCAATGATTTGTTCCTAATCAGATACTTTTGCTCATTGGTTCCCCAGTGCTATTTTACTCAGGCTGTCCAGCTTCCATAAATGAAATATTTTAATTTTCTTTTGCCTGCTACTTCCTACTTACAAGCCAGGGTGACCAATATTGAAACATCTTTGTAACAATGACCTATAGCACTCTTAGTCACTGTGGGTGTCACCTGAGAGTGCCCAGATTTCTTATCTATGGCATCTCAAGTGTACCTGTCCTGTGTAGATGTGAAGAAACAGACATCTTAAACAGTGGCGTGGCCTTGGGGACGGAGGTAGACCTAGAACTGGGCGCCTGAACCTCTTGACTCTTACAAGCATTGCTCACCAAGGAGACTGCTAGCTCACCTTTTGCAAGCTGCTCACTCCTGTAATCATCTGTTTAAGACACAGTTACTTTGAAAAGATCTCTAAGGATCTCTTATAGATTTTTTTTTTTTTTTGAGATAGAGTTTCACTCTGGCACCCAGGCTGGAGTGTAGTGGCGCAGTCTCGGCTCACTGCAACCTCTGCCTCCCGGGTACAAGCAATTCTGCTGCCTCAGCCTCCTGAGTAGTTGGGACTACAGGTGCCCGCCACCATGCCCAGCTAATTTTTTGTGTTTTTAATAGAGATGGGGTTTCACCGTGTTGACCAGGCTGATCTCAAACTCCTGACCTCAGGTGATACACCTGCCTCACCCTCCCAAAGTGCTAGGATTACAGGTGTAAGCCGCCACGCCAGCCATCTCATAGATTCTTAAAACCTTTGTATAACTTGATGAATGTGCATATAGAATGACTTACAAAATGTGAGAAAAAAATTGTCTTCCATTATGTTTCTAAGCCCTTGTATAAGGAAGAAAGTCTTAGGTAATATTTTGTCATCAAACAGGATAATTGGCATAAATGAAAGTAATTCCCTTTTTTGGTTAAAAATTCCTCCAGTTTCCCCCAAATTGCTTTTTTAATATTCAAAGACGTTCCTGGAAGTAGAAATAAAAAAGCCCTGCTTGAAATTTCAAAGCCACTTCCTCATCATTCATATCCAGATGCAAAGACCACTTCCTTTTTTAAGCCACGTGGCTATTTTTAAAATAACAGCTCTGGACCACTTGTGAGTATCATAATTAGTATGAGATTGATTTCTAGGTTTGGAGTTGGAGCTTTAGAGTCCTGGAAACTGGGATTTAATCCTGGCTGTTTATTAGACATGTGAACCTCAGTCGGTGGCTGAAAGAGTAGCTGCCGTTAGCATTGTCACAGCCATCCCTCATGTTTTGTAACAGTGATCATGGTTTTGTTTGTCACTGATACATCTCTTAGTCAGATTTTGAAATCAAGAAAAATACTTGACATAACGACAGTGCCTCCATTTCTCTGCTCTCATTACTTGAGGCCACAAGTGTAAAAGGTTTTCTCCCCTTGACTTGAGCTGTGATGTTCTCTGTTAACTTGGAGAAAGGCCAGTTGCCTATACAATGTGCCTTTATATTTTGCCTGACTGCAGTCCCCTTTGACACGAGACTGCTGGAAAGCTTGGCACCTTCAGCCACGGCCGCCTCTGCTGAACTGTTCCGTGGGTGTTGTGGCCTGGTTTCAGGTACACAGTGACCGTTTGGAGGAAATGGGTATGTGCAGTGTAAGGCTGGCCTCTCCAGAGCCTCACTGAGTCTCCACACCTTCCCTAGGAAGCATGGAGGAGCTTGGCGCTGGGGGTCCACTGGTTTTGCATTCCCACCAGTGGCATATGTGCATTCCACTTTCTCCATGTCCTTACCAATGCTTGTTTCTGTCTTTCACTGTGACTTTAGCCATCCTAGTGGATGTGAATTGGCATCTCATAGTTCTGCTTTGTATTTCCCTCGTGACAGTGATGTTGAGCTTGTTCCCTAGTTGAGAATTAGTTGGAGAATGTTCTGGAAAGCGCTTCCTGTAAGTTGGTTCCAGTTATATTGGGCCACTCTTCTCTTAGGCTTTGGTATTTTTCTGATGAAAATCTTTTAACCTTTATACTGAACATGGCATTGTCTAAATATAGGAGCAGATCTGCAGAGGGGGCCAAGAATTACTTGGAACATGAGGAGTTAACTGTGAGCCAGCTCCTGCTGTGCCTAAGGGAAGGGAACCAGAAGGTGGAGAGACTTGAAACTGCACTCAAGGAGGCCAAAGAAAGGTATGAAACAGGTTAACTTGAAATACACATTTTTTAAAAAAAACAGCTTTACGGACATATAATTAAGATACCATAGAGTTGGCCGGGCGCGGTGGCTCAAGCCTGTAATCCCAGCACTTTGGGAGGCCGAGG